AAACAAAACCCCACAAACCCCTCGCACCACACACATAACATACACATGCACCATATTGTGGTGTACGCCATGCACATGCGCTGCAATGAATTGTTAGAACGCATCGCAGTGCATGAGATATATTTTTTTTTACTTTAAAAAAAACTATAATTTATCTGTGACAGCGCATTGGCGAAGCTTTGTGACGCATTGCCATGCGTTGTGATACCTTGTGTTGTAATTAAATATACGCCGGGATCAATTTATCACAACACTAACACCACGCAAAAACCATTTATAGCATAAGTCGCTTATTTACAGTTTTGCGTTCCTTCATTTTTTTATCTGTTCGAAAAAAGACGCAATTTCAAATGTCAAAATATCTGTTATTTATGAACTCCGTACAGTTTTATCGTTTAGATTTAGTCAGAAAATATTTTTTTTTTGTGCGCTGAAACTGAATTGTTTATTTTTATTGGTTTAATGTTAATTTGAGAAACATTTGCGCAGTTATCACAGGGCCTACAAATTTAGTAGCACCCTCTTTTTATTCTACCGGGCCTGCGCTTTCAGGAAATATATGGTTTGGGGATCTTTTACAAACGCAGCATTCGAAAATCAATCAATGGGAAAAATTGCAAAAATGGCGCGCCCAGCTCAGGTGTAAAATGTTCCGGAGGGCTTGGCAGCGAAAGGGTTAATCCGATCTATACGGGTAGTACAAACTGCTTGCAGACACCTTACTTTACCACTGATGTGGAGATTCTTTGGTCTCAGTGATTACAGCTTTGGGTCAAAATCTGGGACGGGGGGGATGTTCAGGTTGTCTTCTAGTCCTCTTTGTTCTCAGTTGGATACAGATCAGATCCCCCCCCGCAATACTTCTCTATGCTTTTATCACCCAAAATGGTGTCAGGTGGAGAGTGTTGGAGAATTATTGAAGGTAATGAGGATCTCATACGGGTTCTTCTACACAAGGTAAAGGATTCCCAACAGGCCCCAGTGAGAGTGAGTGGGATCCATTGTCTCGGGTGGCTGTGATTGGAACTTAGTGGAGCAATTCGTTGGGTTTGTTTCCTGAGCCAATAATTGTTCTTATAATTTGAATATAATTATTTGTAGATTGGTGGAGTTGTGTCATCAAAGTGGTTTGAGAGGGGGAGGGGGACCCCACGCTGTTTTCTTACATTTTTCTTTCTTTTACTTTTTTAAATTTATTTTTGTAAACATTTTTTTAAACTATTTTTTATCTTTTTTTGTCTTTTTGTTACATTTTATTTTATTCTGCTTGCTACCTCGCAGTAAAGCAAAATGTTACCTCACTAAGTACTAAAGATGTCTGCCATGAAGGGGTTCAATCATTTTGAGACTGCAGAAGTCATTAAAAGTCACATTTTGAGTTGAATTTGGAGGAAACCACATTGATACATTCGTTATGTTGACCGATTTCAGTTGCTTTTGTTTGATTGGTTCATTGCAAACAGCGGAAAGTCTGTAAATTTTGCCCATAAACCTGATTTGCAATGGGGGAGGGGTCAGGAATTTTGATGACAGCTGTAATTGGATGCGATTATTGTGTTATTATTACTTGTAGAATCTTTGAAAATGAAAATGTTCGTTTGATTTTATTTCTGAAATGTTAATTAAAAGAATAAAATAAATATTGAGGGGCGTGTCAAATGTTGACGAATTTCTTGAACAGATGATGGATTTGGTAGTGATGGGTGTCCCTGCAAGAGAGTGAGGCAGCCAATAGGGGAACATTAGGAGTGTCTATGCCTCACCAGCCAATCACTAGGAGTTTCATGGTCAGTGGTGCATGCTGGGAAGTGCATAAATACTCAGGAATAGCCATGTGCTCCAGAGGTCCGCCCCTGGGCTTAGCCTGGAGGTGGGATGTACAGGGCTGGAGACGCGGACTAGGCCTAAAGCCTGCAGGAGGCCAGATGTGGACCCAGGTGGGGTCTGGAGCTATCTGGGAAGGAGTACCAGAGGAGCCCTATGACTGCTGGAGGTGCCAGGAAGGCCAGGATGGCATGGACCTCAGGAACAAGTCCGATGTCTCTCCCAGCACAGATCTAAATGTGAGATGTAAATTTGTAGATAAAAGAATATATGAATAGAACAATAATAAATATACACTGCCTGGCCAAAAATAAGTCACCCTGTAATACAGGGGTCTCAAACTTGTTTCACTCAGGGGCCACTGGACAAATGTTTTTTCCCATGGGGGCCTGTCAGGGACCAGAGCACCTCCAGGTGGCAGTGTGGAGCTGGAACCTGATCCTGCAGTTCCAGTGCTCACCTGCAGGTGTCTCCAGCAATTAGTCACCACCTGGTGCTGATCTGGGAGGGTATTTGACCTTACGGAAGGAGCGACTTTTTCACTCTTCAAACATGGCCGCCCACTGCATTGCGGCCCCAAAATATAAACATAAAAGGTATTTATAAAAGAGGATAAAGCAATTTAAATGTTTCATGTTCATTAATGTTGATGGGAATGTTTTCCTTAGATATTCCGTACTGCAGTGTAAAGGTCGGCTTCCAGGAGATCGCTCCGGCTGAAAGAAAGCAGATAAGTGACTGAAACCGCCCCACCCCCACCCCACAGAGCAGCGATCAGTACACAGCCCTGTGTGTAATGGACAACCTCCTGCACCCAACCCCCCGCCCTCCCTTCTAGAGATGGGAGGTTTGGATCTTTCAAATGAATCGGTTCATTTGGATCAGTTCATTCAAAAGAACGGATTCATGAATCGAATCTTCGGTTCACTGGCTGAGTCGGCTGACAAACCAATGAACCGAAGCTCAGGAGCTGTCTGAACCTTCATAGAAGATCCGAATCCGAGGACTCTGATTCAGAGAAGGGTGTCGGGCAGCTCCTGGGGAACATTGATCCTAACACTATCAATACATTTAAGTGAAACAATGTTAAGTGAAAAAGAATAAAATAAAAACTAAAACCAATGTGTAATGTGTAAATGTGTAATTATCTGCCCCACTGTAGAGGTCATGGTTGTCGGAACTAAACAAATCCAAGTATCCCGGGGGTGTGAAAAACGTAGGACTGGAGGGGTAAATAATATAATTAAAAAGGAGGTTTAAATGTATTTTTATGTTATTAAAAAAAGGCGCTCTCTCATTTTATTATATAGCTACTGAATGAGACAGATGTGTCAGGGGGATGTCTGTACCTTTTAATATATATATATATCTCCTTGAGAAGCCAATTTGATCCTAAAGGGTTAAACCATCAATCTGAATGAGGATCTCCTCTAATCCAAACTCTCTCTGTCCCTGATCACTGCTGCAACCTGCTCATTGATTCGTGTATTCTTCTCCTGGTGGGGACTCTTTAACTCAAAGAATCAAAAGAGTTTACCGAGTTCGCTTCTGTTGTAAAGCCGACAGTCGGCTCTACAAGTTTAAACAGACTCCCGGCGGCAAAAGTCCCGATGCTGGCGACGTACACTGTACGTCGTCAGTCACGAAGGGGTTAAAGAATCAAATGAGTCCACTAACTAAGTAAACTCATTTGATTCTTTTAACTAGTAGATTCCTTCGATTCTTAGACTCAGCCGACTCATGTGATTAGACTCCGTGTACTGTGACTAGAATGTGATTGGTTGCAGGGGTGAGCAGGGGGGAGGGGCTGGCAGAAGCCTGGCTTTCACTCCAGGGTCATATTACAAGCCAGCTAGAGTCTCTGCCATGCGTCACACGGAGCTGCTGCAAACCGATCAACTCACTCAGCTGAATCGACTCCACCAGATCACTGAATAGAATCCATTCAAAAGAACGATTCGTTCAGGAACTGGACATCTCTATCTCACACCCCCTGTGTCTCAAATCCTGCGACATCAGCACACATCTCATGACATTGTAGACACAAGTCGCTCTATGATGACATCACTTCCCATCTCCATTTTACAACACACATCCAAGGGGCTCCTCATCTGGACGAGTTCAGTGTCCTGTGGAGGGAGTTTGGAAACATCCGCCATTGCTGGACTTCTAATATGAGATCTACCTCACAGGTCAGTGTCTGCTTTG